CGAACTACCTAGTTCGTGCCCCGTGTAGCCGCGCTGCACGGGGTTCGAACCAGCAGGGTTTTAAAAATGGCGGCTCCCCGCTTATGCAAATGAAGCCCGGGAAATTCAAATCCCGGGCTTCATTTGTAAGTGTGGTATGCCTACATTACCCTGCTAGTTCGAACTAGCGGGGTAGTGTAGACATACCCATATACTGTACTTATATGCCAGCTAATATACTATAATTTGTACTGCTGCTGCTGTCTGAAGCAATTACTTCCAAGACAATCCAGTATTCTGGGTTTTGACATCATTACAGTACACAGCTAAAAGCAACAGCAAGGACAGGAATTCTGTCAGTCTAACTCTGTGATCTTGCATTGCATGCAAAATGCTGAATAGTATTTATTGTCCTCTGGATGTCCATCTCATCTGGTTCTGGAAATTCTGCAGCTGACATAATCCACATAAGCATGAGCTAAATGGCAGATGGCTAACTATGTGTTCTTGCCAATGACAAAGTGCTACAGAATGCACTCAGATTTGCAATCCAATTCTCTTACTACCCTTGCCACAAACAGTTGGTATGGAATGCTGTACAAATGTACAATATTCCACTTGGCTTGACAGATCTATACTAATAGTCTCCTCATGTCATATAACTGATTTCTAACTATAGCATGTGCCACGCCACTGCTGTACCCCCATCCTCAACACTTCACAAATCTCTTTTCATTCCAGCTAAGTTAAACAGACCTCTTTGGTTCCTCTTGTGGTAGATGCTTCCAAGGCACAGTAAGGATCCAGTTAGTCTAAGTGCAGTACATTAAGTCAGTGTGGGTGCTTATTTGGATCATATACAGATAACCTGAAGCTCTGAGAGCTCTATAAGACTCAGGACCTGTTTCCCATCATGGCCTTTTCCCATCTTAGCCTTCCACTCAAACAAGGGCCCAAATGGAGTACTCCAGGTGCAGTGGCCAGTCTTCCTTCCCATCGAGGCTACATCTAGACTACAGGCTTCTTTTGGAAGAAGCTTTTTTCTGAAGAGGTCTTCTGGAAAAACTTCTTCCGAAAGAGAGTGTCCACACTGCAAAAGTGAACAGAAAAAGCAATCTGCTTTTTTGAAAGAGAGCGTCCAGATTGAATGGACACTCTCTCACATGTAAGCTGCGATTGCTATGGACAGAATGGCCACCAGGGCACCTGCGCTTTTTCCTCTTTCCTCTTCTTAAAGAACTCCCTCTTCCCCGTCCATACACACCTTTTTGTGAAAGAGCTCTTTTGCAAAAAGGCTTCTTCCTCGTAGAATGAGGATTACCAATGATGGAAAACCCCCTCTGGTCTTTCGATTTTCTTGTGGAAGAATGAAATTGCAGTGTGGACGTTCCTCAAGTTTTGTTGGAAAAACGGCCATTTTTCCAAAAAAACTCTGTAATGTAGACATACCTGAACTTCTGTCTGCTCAGCCTGGAAAAACAGGCACTGGGAATGAGCCTGGAATCTTTGGGAAGAAAGAGAAGGAAAAAAGGAGGATAGAAAAAGGAAGAAGAAACACAGAAGGTAGGTTACTGCAATCTTGTGAATCAATAGAGTTTAATGAATCTGCAATTTTCCCCCCATTTTGGGCTGGCTCCTAATCTCCTGCTCTATCTTACGGCTTCCTGAGTTTTGTATTGAAATCCGATGGGTAAGAAAATCTGAGAAAAAGTAAGGCACCTCAATAAGAGTGTGCTTTTAGACCCAGAGAAGTGGCTTGCCGAGCTCTGCCGCTTGACTACCATTGTGCAATGTACAGTTTCAATGGATTAGGCAGGACTGAAAAACGACCATTGTGGGAGGAGAAGGCTCTAGTCAGTAATGTCAATTTTCTTGTCTGAAATAACTCTACTGTTGTAAGGAAAGGTTAAATATGTTTGATAAGTTGCAGGTATGATTCAAGTCCAAAATGGAATTAGTCATTTCTACTTTCTATTAATAATGCAAATATTTTAACATCTCTCCAAAACATACCTTGTCCTCATCCAGATGCTACCCTCCCAAGTACCCTAATTATTGTTATTAAATGATCTTATCTCTCTCCACCCATTTTACTCTCAGAGCAAAGCACTTCAGAACATATATAACTTGAAGTTCCACTACCTTCAAGTTAAGTATGTTATTGTGCCCAGTAAATTAGTCAAAATCTAACTTCTGCCCTTCCCAACGTATATCCTATTCCCAGCTGTTTCTCAGGCCCTGCAATGCCTAAACAATCACTCACATCCCATCTATGACCTGAGCACTTTCATAACGGGCAGTTCTGCCAACAAAGGTGGGGAACAAAGTGGGGCCTGGTGTTTTGAAGGGGCTCAGAACCTGGCTGCTGCCACTACTACTTTGGCAGTGGAGACGGCTGGAGGGCTGGACTCCTTTGAACTGCCATAGGAGTAGGGCTCTGCGTGACTTTGAGGGTTGCGGGGGGAAGAGGAGTACCGCAGTCTGGGCAGTGCTAAGGACTGACTGTTCTAGGCCCTGCTTGCCCTAGGCTCTGCCCATTGCCTCTCGGCCCCGCCCCTCCCAGGGAGCACAGAAAAAGGCTCTGTGGTGGCTGCCGGCCTCGCTAATAAGATCAGTCATCTCAGGAAAGTGCGCCCTGTGTCTCACCATCCACTGACACTCCAGAGACCTTAAAACTGTGATGGTATACAATTCTGTGATCAGGGGAGAGCCTCAGGTGTCAAAAGGGATCTCATGGCATATGGTCTCTCCCCTGCAATACAGATGTGATCTGATCTTCTGCTGAAGCTTTTCCCAGGAACAGGGACTGCATATTGACTATCAAATGCTTTACTTTCCCTGTAAACAATTATGGGGAAATTTCTTTCTACTCCCAGGAAGTTTGTGGTTGACCTTTGTCCTGTAACAAGCAATTTTATGTATTTTAATAGTGATTGTTCTAATTATCCATATGAATTTGTACGTATATATGGGGCTGTCAATTGGTCAGTTACTGACTGTGATTAACTGAAAATACAAAGAACATACTATTTTTTAATGAATTCATTGTATACCCATGGGCGGGGCGGAATGTATCAGCGCTGAGGGGGCTGAAGCTCCAGAACAGAGCTCCAAAGGCAGTGGGGGA